CTGGGCTTGAGCTGAAGGAACCCATCACCTCTGAGTCCTAGCTCTTCAGAAAAATGGTAGCTGCTGCCAGATGTGAACTTGACACTTGAAATTGGCAGACAGCTGGGAGTTAGGTGAGACGGAGAAACAGACATGGGCTCCAGCCTTGGAGAGATGGGGGTTCCAGATCCCCGGTGCACTTACTGTTGTGGGACTTCGCGATCGACAATTTGTGTGATCTCTGTGAGGCCCGTTTCTCCGTCTTAAAAATGGGGCCCTTCAGCCTGCCTCGTGATACATTGGCGAGTATTCAAAGAGGAGAATTCAAGTGTCCGGCACACAGAGACACTCGGGAAACATTAGTTTCTGTGATCCTTTACGCTGGATAAGCAAATGAATCCTTCCAAAAATAGTATGTCCTACAGAGTAGAATCCTACTCATTTTTTGTCCATGGGACATCCAAAGGGATGTTAGAGGCCTTTGTTTGGTTTGCGGTGAGTTGACTTTGCACTTTAAAAGGGGAAAAAAGGAAACCTGTGGTACCTCGGACAATGAGCCTTTTTAAAGCCAGCCTTGGACTCCAATTTCAAAGAATATTCTTATTAACATACTTTCTTATAAATGGAACACCACTCATCAAATATTTATAAGTCATAGCCCCAGCAGCCAGCGCAGGGCTCGGCCAGCCCGGGGACATTTCCCACGTGCGCTGTGGGATGGCGTAGGCAGGGGAGACCGGTTAATTTTGTGACATGGTTTGGGGGCTCCAGTGTGAGCCGGCCCTGGCATGGGTTCTCGGGCGCTGGGCCTGCTCTGGAGCCTGTCGGACTCCCACGCAGCCTGTCTTTGCAGGCAACTCCCTTTGAAGTCCACAGGAGCTCTTTGAATGGAAAACATACACAACAGGGTGTAGATGCAAATAAGAGCCGGGCCTGATGTGTGTGGGGAGTTGTGGTGCTCTCACCCCAAATATTAGCTCTGTAGCCCAGAAAGTATGGTTTTATTATTAAATAAAAGACCCCACAAAATAAACCCCACAATCTACCACCCAAGCGCCACCGTCCATTCGCTCAGGAAACGATGAGCCTGCTAATTACCTGGAAGTTTAATTAAGCGGCAGATGTGGGCGTCGCGGGCTCTGTTTTTACTTTAAACACATCAGTAAAATAAACATTCTCAGTTCCAGGGCAACTTGCTAAGTAAAAAAATAAACATTACTACCTTTTGAAATATCACTCATCGAGTGTGATAATTTTGAAAAATATCTCTATTAGAGATAGTTAGAGATATTTTTTGGTTGGAAATGCAGTCGCCGGTGGAGCACAAAGCTGCAATTTGTAGACAGGTTAAGTAAATTAAATCACTCACTGTCTTTTTTTTTCCAGTGGCTTTAAAAGTTAAAGTAATTTGCAAAGAAAATGCTCAATTTGAATTGGTTTGTAATATCTGTTAATGATCTTTAAAAAACCCCACTTATATTCACAACCCGTCCCTGAGGGAATCCTGGTGTACCATCAGAAAAATTTCTAAAGTCTGAAATGTCATTAGCTAGTGATTTCTTTGAAGTAAAAAGCCCTGAAAAAGAAATTATATAAGGTATACAAGTGCACAGGACAATCACTTCGGTGAATAATCTCGGTCTTTTTCACCCCCCAAAATGCACCAGTTGAAATTCAAGCTGCTAAACGATAGAGCTGTCTTTGGAATTACCTCACTGTAGGCATAGCTGCTGTTTACTTCCGCCCATATATTTACGGGTTGCTGTTGCAAAAACAGTTGTGTTGCCTAAATGCAGGCCTACAGGTGTTATCATCCAGGAATAAAATAAAAGCCTGTTTCAGTGCAGCCCGGATCCCACAGCCAGGTGCCTGGCGGAGGTGCAGATGCTGCGAAGCCCCTCCGATGGGTCAGTATTGGGTGACAGAGCTGTGAAATGCGACACCAAAGGGAAACTTTTCTTCCCGACCCCAGCCCGCTACCAGTCTAGCCTGGAAGCAGGGGAGCCTTTGTAATGCAATATTAGGCAGTGTAACTGCAAATGCAGGTTTGGCTACTATAAATAGCTTTTTTTTTTTTTTTTTGAGGGAGGAGTTGGATTTTACTAAGCCATTGGCTACAGGTTAATTATACATTTCATAAGACAGCATTTCCTTGTAGCCAGTCTAAATTTGTTACCCCTTAATCCCTCTTTAGCTAATAAGGCCAGGGCCCTTCATGGCCATTATTTTATACATTGGGCCTCTAACTTTTCTTTTTTCCCCTTCACCCATTACCCACATCTTAGCTAAGCTGCAGAGGGTCCCAGTCATGTTCATTTTCACCCGAGGGGCAGCCATCCTCTTTTTCTTGGTCCAACTGACCTGTCATCCTGCGTGGTTCTCCCTCCTTCCTGCTCTGTAAGCGACCTCAGGGGAACACACCGAGCACAAGTCAAACAAACCACTGCTCAACTTCAATACATAAAAATATTCTGTAACACTTTCCGTGTGAGCCCCTCCATCACTTCACCAAAGGAAAAGATGTCAACGTTTGAAACTTTTCTTCACGCTTTCTTGGGGTTCCACATACGGAAGATGGCAAAGAGCAGGGGCCTGAGACTAGAGAGAACACATCCTATAACCACCCGGACAGGAAGGTGAGTGGAGCCCACATTCCCGATGGCCCTGTGATGGGACTCGCCCTCCCAGACAACCGCCGGCCTGATTTCCTGACGCCACAGATTCGTTTTCTTTTTGAACTGCGTGTAAGTGGAATCATAAGGTAGGTGTTCTTTTGTCTGGTTTGAATCTGTCAGCATTATGTGTGTGAGCTGTACTTGTATTGTTGGGTGTAATGACAGTATTTTTTCCTTGTATTTCCTTCCACTGTATCAATAATATACCAGAGTTGACCTGTTTTACCCTTGACGAGGACTTGGGTTGTTTTCCGTTCCAGGCTGTTGCAGACTTTCCTGGGCACCCCTTTGGTGGGTGTGTGCATACGTTTCTGCTGGGTGTGTTGATTTCAGGGGCACTTACTATGTTATACCATGTGACTGTGCTCAGATTTAATAGAGTCAAGTAGATTTTCAAAGAGGTGGTGTCATTTCTACTCCCAGTGGCTGCGGGGGGAAAGGCGGGCTGCTCTGCATCCTTGTCAGCATTTGGTGTTTGCAGTCTTTTTGATTTTGGTCATTCTGGTGGTATGTAGTTGAATCTCGCTGTGGTTTTAATGTGACTTTCCAGATTATTAATAAGTTGAGCATCTTTTGGTGTATATTGGCCATTTGGCTATTCTGTGAATGGGCTTTTCAAGTGTCTTGTTAATTTTTCTGTTGTATTGTTCATCTTTCTGATTTGTAGGAGATAGTTACATAATCTAGATATGATCTTTTTGGGATATATTTATTGCAAATATCATATACCACCCCAAGCTTGACTTTTTACTCTCTTTATGGTATCTTTGGATGAACAGAATATTTTAAATTTTAACGTAGTCTAATTTACCAGTTTTCCTTTATAGTTAGTGCTTTGTATGTCTATTTAAGAGAACTTTCCTTACTTTGAGGCCATGGAAATATCCTTCGATTTTATCTTCTGGAAGCTTTATTGTTTCTTCTTTTCCATTTACATCTGCAGATTACTTATATAGGTTACACTTTACTTACTTATAGATTATATCTATAACCCAATGACACTGATTTTGCATATGATGTGAGGTTGGGGGATCAAGTTTGTGTATTTTCCTCCAGGATATCCACTTACCCTACACCATTAATAGAAAAGACTTCCTTTCCCCAGTGTTCTGAAGTGACACTTTTGTCATAAATTAAGTATTCACTCACTTGTAGAATGATCATATGACTTTTCCCTTTATTCAGTTAGTGTGGTGAATTATTCAATAGGTTTTTGAATGGTAAACCAATCTTGCATTTCTGGACTAACCCAACTTGGCTGTGATGTGTTATTTACTGAATATATTGCTGAATGTTTTGATAATATTTACAACAACATGTATGAATGAAGTTTACCTGTAATTTCCCTTCAGTGTGATGTCCCTCTCAGGTGTGATACGAAGGTTTAGCTGTCTCAAAATAAGTTGAGAAGTATCCTCTTTACATTCTTTAAAAAGAAAAATGCATCTAATCTAAATATAGTAATTAAAAAATTATAGTTTGTTTTAAGTAAGTTAGTCAGGGGTCTCTGGAGAAGCAGAACCAATGGGATAGATAGAGATATATGTCAGAGGACACTTATTGTGGGAATTGGTTCGCACAGTTACGGAGGCAGGGTCTTCCCATGATCTGCTGCCTGCAAGCTGGAGAACCAGGAAAGCTGGGGTGTAACTGAGCTCAAGTCTGAAGCCTGAGATAGCGGGGCAGAGGGTGGAAGGGCAGAGATAGTACAAGTCCTGGCTGGATTCTGAAGGCCCAAGAACCAGAAGATTTGATGTTCAAGGGCAGGAGAAAATGCATATCCAGCTTAAGCAAAAAGAGGAAATTCACACTTTCTTGGCTTTTCTGTTCTGGCCAGGCCTTCACTGGATTGCATCATGCTGGCCACCTTGGGGAGGGCCGTCTTCTCTGCTCAGTCCACCAATTAATGCCAATCCAATCTCCTCCGGAAAAACCCTTTCAGACACACCAGAAATAACGTTTACCAGTTATCTGGGCATTACTGAGCCCAGCCAAGTGGACACAGAAAAGTAGCCATCACGTGAGTATTTACCACCGTTTCCTTTCGTTCCAGGCTTCTGTTTATTTTAACTTAAACTTATGGCAGGAAACTGTTTTTGTGTGTTTTGCATGGGAAAGTAAATACAAGTTGGACTCTCTTCTAGGAGTTTTCATATGGCACGCGGCAGCCTGCCCATGGGCCTGAGGCTGAGACTTTTACTGCATCTCCATCGCGGGACCCATGACCAAGGCCCGTCCTGGGTTTAAAGGCCAACCTGTAAGAAGGGAAACTTTTTGGACACACGACAAGCATTCAGTTAAAGCGCTTCCTCCCCACCGGAATCTCCAAAGCCAGTTTCATTTCCTGCCTTTGACCCCTTCAGTCCCTGTTCCACATGTTTATAAAAATCTCCTTCAGTGCTGTAATCTCACACCTCACCCCGCCTCTCCATTCCTACTTGCTATTGTCTTAATCACCTGTGCCTGGGCTGTGGCATTTGGGGGACACCGAGTCTCCATTTCTTCTTCTTCTTCTCAACCATCCAAGTGCTCAAAATGGAAACCCGGCCACATCAGTCCCTTGTGGAAAGCTGCTTGGTGGCTCTCCATTGCTTTACGAGATGAAGCCGAGGCTCGCTGACGTGGCGCCCAAGTTCTCCATGATCTCCCTCTCCTGCCTGCTTTTTGCCTCGCTCTAACTTTTGGCTCCACCACCCAGCAGCTCCGTCTGCTTGCAGTTCCATCTACCACCTGGGATTCTGGGTGCCCCAGCTTTGGCCTACGCTGCTCTTTCTCCCCGGAACAGACTGCCCACGTCTCCCCCCGGGATGACCCATCCTTGGACCGCCGGCTCAGGCCAGATCCACGGGGCTGCGCGGCCTCCTTTCTGCCCACGCCTCTCTCGGTGATTCGACTGTGAGCTCTCTGCAGGGACAGTCTAGGTCCTAGTCATCCGTGGGTGCCCATAACTTGCCGCGTGCTGGTAGACAGCAGGTGCTAAAAGACATTTTCAGATTCAAGCAGAAGGAACAACATTGACTAGGTGACTAGTTTGAATTTCACTCCACCTCTTTATGAAAGCCTGAGATGAAAGAAAATGGCCAAAATGTCACCCACGACCAGAGGGAGGCAGGAAGGCAAAGGCTGTGGACAGTCGGCAGATATAATCTCTTCCTATATGACTAAACTCAGTTCAGGTGATTAAAGCTCTCTTATGGTAGAATCTGCTTTTTGTAGAATAGATGAGTAACAAGGCTTTTCTCCAAAGATAGATTCTTCCAGAGAAACAAACCTGAACAGTTTACTCTAAGAATTTAAGTGAAAAAGTAGTCTTATTTAAAAGGCAAATTGATTAATATCTTTCTTTTCTATGATTAATAAAAGAGTTGACACAGAAGCTCTGTGAGAAACTATGTGAGAGATTCACAGGGATCATTAAAGTCTCTAGTAGACATTCACTTTCACATTGTAAAACTGGCTATACCCTCAGAATGGTATCACATAAAAATGGAGTTTCTGGGGCCCTTACATATGAATGGGTTTTAGTTGCACAGTGGTGCCATTCATTTTATTTGGACCATTTATTGCAAGTACATTCTAAATTTGGCCTTAATTATTTTTCCTTTCACAAAAATATTTTGTGGGATCTTTTTGAGCCCTGCCTACTTCCTTCTTGCCCCTTAAAACAGAATCCAGGAGCATTATTTTTGTTCTCTTTTAATTAAAATAATTGCTTAGTTTCTTTTAACTAGATTCATGCAGCCATTAGCCTAATACGTGGATGGTGCCATGGGGTGCTTGAGACACAGAATGGAAAGTGATCATGTAGCTGCACATGAGAAAAGCTTCTGTGGTGCCAAGCGCATTGCTTCCTTTCAGCCGCATTTCACAAAGGCCTTTAGTCAACCTGCCCCCATATCCTCACGGAAGACTAGGAAGTGAAAGAATAGTCCTATTCTCTTTATTAGGTATATAGAAAACTCAGTACAGTTTGAAGATGGCCCTTGATAAGCTGGGCAGGGCACAGAGACCTGGGGTCCGGCTTCATCTCTGCCCTGCTTTGTCTTTCAGAAGAGCTGCAGCTGAGAGGGACATACTCCATGTCCCCTCTGCCGGGGGTTCTTGATCAGAGGACAGTGAAGGACGAAGGATAAATGTGCCTGGGTGGATGTGTTAATCAAGAGTTGTCGGGACCCTGCCTCTAAAAGGAAGCGTTAACGTAGTGTTTTTGACCTCAAGACTTTTCTCAGAGTTGTTGTAGCCCAAGGGTTTGGCAAACAAAGGCCCACAGGCTAAATCTGACCTGTTGCCTGCTTTTGTAAATAAAGCTTTATTGGAACACAGCTACACCCATTTGTTTGTGTATTGTCTACTTTGGTTTCTGTGCTTCGATGTGGAGCAGTAGTGACAGAGACCATGTGGCCTGCGAAGCCTACAAGGTCTCCTATCTGGTCCTCTACAGGAGATGCTCGCTGGCTCCTGAGGAGGTCCACCAGTTCACTGAGCACACTGCCCACTCCACGCTGAGCAAGATGTTTGCAGGATTTTTCCAGTGGCCCGCATTTGATGAGGGCCTTGGTAGTGTGCAGTGTTGCGGGTGTTCAGTACAGGTGTACAAGTAGCAGGAAGGGAGAAGGGTTGGGGGCAAGTAAGAAGGATTTGGAGCAAGAGCTCATGGTTTGAGAAACGGTTCTGCCATCATGGTCTCACTGGCAGGTAACTGATTATGGCTGGGCCTGAAGGAGGTGTGGGCACGGCTGGAACTGCTCACCTGATGGGCCCCTTTATTAACTTCTCAAGACCTTATAGTCAATATTGTGAACCTCTGCTTCCAGGCCAAAAGGTGGGCACCCTTTGCCACCAGTTGGTGGTTGGAAAGGTCGAGTGAGAGAATGTAAGCCCAAGTGTTCTCTAAACCACATGGTGCTATATTTGTGGCATAGATATTATCTATAAAACATTAGAATAAGTGTTATTTCTGCTTGGCGTGTGAAAAATGTAGCCTACCCAAAATCAAATAGTGAGCCAGCGGAGGAGCTGCGGGCTAGGCCTCCTGGTTTTAGTCTCTGCTCCTCCCAGTAGACTACATGCTTCTCTACACCATGTTTCTTCCACGGTTTCAGAAAGGCGCAGTTCTTTAGTCAGTTCATTCATTCATTCATTCATTCATTCATTCACCAGTCAACATTATTTAAGAGCCTGCTATGAACCAGAAAAAGAGCTGAATTTTTCAGAATGGTAACTATGAAAAGAAAAGTTGGAAGACTCCTAGAACAATTTTGTTCTTGGAACCCTCTGGCTGGAATACTCCAGAAGTACATAGAATTTCCTCTTGATTCCCCGGGGCTACTCAAGGAGTTGGCCCTTGTTTGTGAGATGAAGAAAGAGAATAGGTGGGACGGGAAGGGGAGAGCAATCCTGCCACCCAACAAAATGCTGCTTGACACTCTGTTTTACATAGCATGGGTGTGCGGGTGCCCTCCTCTGCGGGTGTACACACCACGAAAGGAGAGGAGAGACACTGATGTGTTGATAGCAGGTTGTACCAGCAAGTAATCTAGGTTTGGGAAATTTGAAAGTTAAGAGTTTGTACATAAAATCCAAGGGAATTCTTTCAGAAAAATGTTCAGGTATTATGAATTATCCAATGAAATGACAAATACTAAAGAAGCCGGATGTGAACTCCCTTCACCATACTATTAAATACAATCTCCACTCAGGTAGCATTTATTCAGTGATTTGTCTTGAATACCGAATTTGCCTTCTCATTGGCAGGAGAGCTGAAATTCTTAAGTTTCAAACTGTTTTTAACAGGACAGTTCATCAATATTTTCTTGTATTCGATGTAATTGGCTACTGGTTCTTTTCAGGCTTATCTGTGAACCTAAAAGTCATATGATTTTCTGAAACAAAGGTGCCAATGAAGTCGTCCCATAAAGAAACAACTTTCCAGCCCGGCTGGGCGTGGCTCAGAGGTTGAGCATCGACCTAGGATCCAGGTGATCGCGGTTCGATTCCCGGTCAGGGCACATGCCCGGGTTGCAGGCTCGATCCCCAGTCGGGGGCGTGGAGGAGGCAGCCGATCTATGACTCTCTCATCACTAATGTTTCTATCTCTCTCTCCCTCTCCCTTCCTCTCTCTGAAATCAATAAAAATAAATTAAAAAAAAAAAGAAAGAAAAAAGAAAGAAAGAAAAAAAGAAACAACCTTCCAGAATCTTGGATTTTACGATTGTCCCCTGAAAGGCCTCAGAGAGGCTACAGTCGAAAATCTTGCTTTACCCTCTTCTTTCCCTCACATAAGTCAACCCCGGCTCTGCTGCCTGAATTTGGAGGTAGCGTGATCTGATTCTGCAATTGACTCACAAAGCTGTGTTCCTTCTCAGATATGCCCCGGACCTAGGATGCTGCTGCTTTAAGAAATGTCACTTGTCGGCTCACAGGAGGTATATTTGTGGCAGGACTTAGCGTGATACAGATAACGCTGTAAGACATCTGTAAGCGTTAACTAATTTATCGAACTTCCCTGTGATATAGCGGATATTCTTCCGTTTACTGTGGGGAAACCTTCTTTGACTAATTCCATCCTGTTAGCAGGTATTCTACTGAAAAAGGGTCGCCATCTGCCAAGGTTTTGCAGACTGGAAGGAAAATCCTCCCCACGGAAACAGATGACCTCCGTGGCCTCCGTGTGTAAGGCCGTCTTTAAATGATTCTGCAGTGCTCTGGGAAAATGCTAGATCTCTTTGAAAACTATAGGAACTGTCATTGTAATACTCCTGCTGCTATCTACCGTTCCCGCGTGCGGAGTTCTTAATAGTTTACGTATATTACTTGGGGTTCCCCAGAAAGGAGAGCTTGAGGGGAACCTCGTGGCTGTCTCTTCGGCGCAGAGTTCACTCCAGGAGTGGGGGAGTTCGGACGATCAGAGTGAGGCCAACACTCTGATCACAGGAGCAAAGACAAGGGTGTGTGGCTGGCGTGGCCCCAGACTGGAACAGGTGGCTCAGTCCTCGGGACAGTGGCCTGCAAAGATTCCTCGAACCCGTGACTGTTCCCTTATATGCCAAAGTCTCTGCAGATGTGATGAGGGTTTTGAGATGGAGGAATTGCCTTGGGTTATCCGGGTAGGTCCCAAACCCAGTTGTAAGTGTCTCTGTAAGAAGGAGGCAGAGGCAGATTTGACACAAAGAATTGGGGGCAGCAGTGTGACCACGGAGGCAGTGGCTGGAGCGATGTGGCCGCAAGCCAAGGAGCGTCGGCTGTCACTGGACGCTGCAGGAGGCCAGGAAGGGCCCACGCCCCCGGAGGGAACACGGCCGGCCAGCACCCGCTGTGGACCTGCAGCACCGAGTGCGGGCCCCGGCCTCCAGAACCAGCGGATAACACACTCCTGCGTTTCGGCCCCACATGTGCGGTAATTTGTCACAGGAGCCGCAAAAACTCTGCAGGGACCGTCCTCTCAGAGCAGACGCGATTGGGTCTCAGGATAGACTGATTGGTGGAGGGAGAGGAAGGAAGGGAAAATAATTTGTTTGCCAGTTTCCTGAGGGGACACGAATACCCCTTTCGGCCCCTCTCCCCTCGGATGAGCAGGGCTGGGCACTGAGCTTTGCGGGAGGGCAGAGGCCAGTCACGAGGACACAAGAACAGGTCCCACTGGTTGTGCCTTATGACGTCTGCTGTATAGACACTGGGGTGAAACGAGGTGACAGGCCAGAGCAGTGTGGCCAAGTCCCACCTGAGAGGTGGCATGTAAGGGGGCTCCCCTGGGTCGTCCTCACAGCCTCCGAGGCAGACGACAGGATTTCTTCCGCAGGTGTGTGTCCCCAGCCTGGATACTGTTAGCTCGCTGTGGCTCCGGGCTGTGGGTCTGTCTTCACGGTACTGGAATCTCTGCCATCAGGGAGCGCTCCGTGTCTGCCTGAAATTTCACTTCTTGATGCACGTGAAATAAGGCTCATTCTTACACGTGAAAGCTCTCTCCAAATATCTGGAGACAGTTTTTATTCTTTCTTCCCCAGGGGCGAGGCTCTCCCCCTTTCCTCAGCTCTGGCCTTCCCTCCAAAGCGCCTGTCTCTGGGGCTGGCGTGTGGCCTGCCTCGCAGGGATGCTCAGAGAGTGTGACAGACCCCAGGTCCACTCTGCCCGAACACACAGCAACCTTGCTTTCTTGGTTCTTACGTCACTGTGTAGCCAGAGATTATTTTTATTGAACTTAAAGTTTTGTCAAGGGCATCATTTTGTTCTTGTCTACACACAGTGTTGATGAAAATGCCCTCTTCTTACCCTGGGGGACAGGGGACCCTATGGGAGCACATGTTAATACTAAAGATGCCTATGAGCCCCCCAAAATTCATCAATCTGAGGTGGTGCTACCATATGGCGAGATCAGAATGCCACCCCACGCCGTGGCACACACGTTCCCACAGTTCCATGCAGAATCGAGGCCAGCGTGACTCCCGCAGGTCTACACCATCAACCCTGCGAGAGGGAGGCGTGCGCTCGGACCCCCACCTACCTCTACCCTTCCACAAAACAGCCCACCGACCAGCCAACCTGCCAGCCAAGCCCCGATCTGGAGCACCCCCGGCTGGAGGAGACCTCCCAGTGGAGACATTCCCTCTGTTGCCTCTTAGCAGCGCTGATTCGGGTTCTGTCTCTGGCCCAATCCAAGTCTCCGGGGGCTTCTGCAAGAAGAAGAAGGGTGCTTACCATGGACTAAAAAGGCCGTCACCTACACGTCTCATCTTTACAGCGACTCCGCGAAGAAGACAGTACAGTGTTCAGATAAAGAATTGTTTTACGGAGAAAGACATTAAGTCGGTTCAAGGTCACCCTCCCAAGGTCGTGGAGTAGCAGACCCAATGTTCTGACGCAGGCGGCTCAGACATCCTGCTCCACCATGTGGTAGGCAGGCTGATTTTGAAGCTGTAAGAGGGGGGAGGGGACCTGTGGACCTCTGCAGATGGACCGAACCCGCAGTGAGCCTTCGGGCCCCCTGCAGGAGCTGGGTAGCACCCAGCTGGCATGCGGTGGCTCAGCTGGGCCTCCTGGTGTCATGCATGTCAGGAAAGGAGGCCCTGCCACATTCTGGCCCAGCCTCCACAGTTCACTAGTGGGGCTCTGTTGTTGTTTGTTTGTTTGTTGTTTGGACCCATCTATTCAAGAAGAGCCCTCTGGGTTTCCTGGGCCAAGGCAGGGGAGGGATGGAAGGCCAGGGGCCCTCATGTAGGCCTCGCAGGCTGGGAGGAGTTTGTTGAATCCGGTTTGTGCCGAGGAGCCAACAGCGTTTGACCTTCCTCTGGGCTCTCTACCCAGAACCAGACGTTCTTGAATCTGGTGGT